GTCTCAGGGACTAAACACTAACCCAGCATCCTCTTCTCCTTTGCTGGCATCAATCTTGCCTCCGTCTGTGCCATTGTCCTGGCCGTCCTGGCCCTCCTGACCCTCCTGGTCCTCCTGTTCGTCCTGTTCATCCTGGACTTCCTCTCCAACCATGAGCTCCTGCTCCTGCTCCGCTCCATTCTGGTCCTCCTCTCCCTCGTTGCCGTTCTGGTCCGATGTCTCCATGAGGAGAGTCTCAGCATCTGCCATTCTGACGGTGGGCTCTTAAAGAGACTGACGGGACAAGAGAAACTTTAAATGACCTGAGAGATGAATGAATACTAACTAATGCAACAAAGGAGCTTCAAATACTAACAAAAACAAACAGCATGAACAAATACGTGCTTTCATCGGGTCTGAAAAACAACTGACTTGTGGGGAAATGATAGCAGACAAATACAATGTAATAAATTATAATTTAAGACTCTTTTAGCTACTTTATTAGTAGCACTATCAGCAAAAGCGATCAAAAAGGAACCGACTCAGTAAGCATGGTTTTTTTGGAGAACTTCAGGTTGTTAATCTAACCTTGCATTACACATTTGGGTGAACACAAGGGGTGACCAATTCATTCAAATGCATTTCGTTACAGTTACACTCATGTGGCAATGTTAAATGTTAGCATTAATTATTAAGTGGAACAGCTCAGGTTAATAAAAAGCTCTGAGCCAACACATCGTTCCTTTGCTGGGTTACTGAATAGAATCACTTCTCTTTGTTTAAAGTACTATATTCTGGATTTGCGTGGTCACAAAGCTAACTTATACATCAGTGCTGCAGGTAACAATTACTGCGAATACACACTCGTCTGTTAACGTGCACATTAAGACTTTTGCATCCAACAAAAAGAATCAATAACCAGCGTGAATCTCCCATGTCCAGTGTTCAAGCGGACCGCGCTTTGCATGGTTGCCGCTCGCAGCAAAGCGCAGGCCTGGCTAGCAACCATAGCTCCCCCATCAAATAAAACCTGAATCAAATAACCAGTAAAAACACGGTATGCATTGAAAAATAAAACCCCCCGAACGAGCGCCACGAAGAACAATGGCTGAGTTTCCCCCACAATCGGTGAACGGAGCGTCAATAACCGCGTTAACGTGTTTAGCACCGCCGCGGCTAACACACAGCTAGTTGGATAAAAATACACATTGGAGACAAAAAAGCAGCGCGACGGAGAAAGTTCACAGCGGAATTTGCCCGCGTTACGAGTCCGAACCACCCGAGCCAGGTTAGATTTAAAGCCCGAAATATAAAAACAATAGAGTGCACTTACTTTAAGGGGGGAAAAAATACCGGAGACGCCGACTCGCTGCTCAAAATGGACACTCTCCAAATTCGCCGCTAACTCGTGGCAACATATATACGACCGGATGTGGCCGAGCGTTGGGTGACGTCGCAATGAGGGAGTCTGTGATTGGACGCGACGCGATGAAGACGCAACGTGATTGGTTGATTGACTGGCGCACCGATGACAAACAAAGTACGGCAGTCAAATGTCCTTCCTGTTCCCATCCCCGTCGTCCTCTCGCTGCTGTTTTGAGATTTAATTATTATTATTATTATTAATTATCGTTGCGTTAGCTTGCGTGTGCGGTGTTTTTTTTTAATGCCATGGCAACGGGCACTCTGTTTTATGCCTTTATTTTTTTGCATGGCGGATGAGAGAAATTGTCGCCAGCAGCTGCAAAAGTGAAAAACAGTTGTTCACTGCAGGGTTTCGTCTTTCTGCGCAGTTTCTATTTCAGTAACAGTGTCTGTGCACCGGCAGACACATTAGACTTTTGGTATGATTGTGTGAAATTTTAGTTTAAAATGTTTTTTGTTGTTTTTTTAATAAACAGATTGTGATGTTTACATTTAATTGCTTTTAACAGAAACAAACCGGTAAGGCGGGTAACCCTCTGTTGGGTTAGTTAAGTTTTCCGGATGCGATGCACTTTTACGAATGATCTTCTAACACTGAAAGTGCTGTGATGCCCTTATCACAACTTCAAATGCATTCACTTAACTTTCAAAGATTCCTGTTTCTTCTCACACGTTACTTTTCATTCAACTGTCACACAGAAAGCGTGGGACATTTTGCAGATCATAACACAACTGCAGACTGACTGCGGCGTTCACCTGAGAGTCTTCTGCAGTCTTATGCAGCGGTACATCTGACTATATTCATTAGGAGTACATGTAAAGATACATATCAGGTTGTTATGTGGTCATGGCTAAGAACAGATGCAAATAGGGTAGGGAAATTAGCTGTGATGTAAGGTGTGCAAATGTAAGATGGGAAAAGCCACAAGGTTGTCCAACTTTGTTACAGTGTCATATTGGACAATGTACTATCAGAAGGGCAGCAGTTTAAGAGGTTTCGGAAACCATCTAAGAATATCAAATTAAGTGATATTTGTGTGCACTTTACAAACTCAGATCTAGTCCAGTTACAATGACATTACTGCAGCCATACCAAGGTTGGATTTGCATCTTCAGTGTCTGAACGGGGAGTAGTATTATTTTTCTTTATATGTGATTTTGATGAAGAAGAGGTTTGAAAGCACAACATTTTTTGGAGCATTTGCTGTTTTGCAAATGGAAACACTGTTTCTTGGTGTCTCCTACACGGGGAAAAACAGAAGCACCCTACATTGTAACCGGTAACAGGAATTACATTTTGGCAGAGGACTATAAAATAATCTATTTGTACCTAATTTGTTGGGCTAAAAGTAGTCACCTACCTACCTACTTCCACCTCATTGTAACTCTCATGTATTATTATTACATCAAAGACCTAAAAAAAACTCATTTCTAAAGTTGCAACTCTGTTTCTTATTCCAAGCAAAGGTGGTAGCCTGAAATGACCTTGCTCCAATGCATCATCTCTTATTGCATCACTCGTTCCCTCATTTTCTCTCATCTCTGCTATCTAGAAATGCTTAAAATGCCCCCAAAATACTCAAATTGGTTGTATTAGGTTGTATTATTAGTTATATTTCTCTGTATTTTCCGTTATTTAATATGTTATTTCGATTTTTTTGTGTCAAAACAAGCTAGAAAAAACAGTAAACACATTTAAAGATAACAGTCTGGTCATGTAGTCTTGATGTAATATCGCCACACCTCCAGTCCAAATCACGTCATCAAAATAGTCACTCAGACATCCATCCCATTAAGCTTGTGAAGGTAGCTTACCTCTTGTGAAACAAGTTTCAAGTTTATTTCTCATTTCTTTTGTTATGATTGTTTTTTGGGGTTTTTTATTGCCTTATTTTTAGACCGGATGAATGGCAGGAAAGTGGGGAGAGAGAGGGATGACATGCAGCAAAGGACCGTCGGTTGGAACCATTGGGTTGGAGAATTTATCTCATGACCACAGTATAAAAACAGATAAAGCATAAAAACATCTTAAAGGGGCACTCCACCAATTTTACACATGAAGATTACTCAGCACAAGGAGTACTACTCCGTGAAAACTGTTACATGTATGCGGGTGAATGATAACCCTGAGTGAAATTAAAGATCTGGGTACTGCAAAGCTTCCAGAGTTTCAAACAGAGATGAGGCTGATAATGTTTTACTGAAATTAATACATGTTGTAAAAACATAGAGCGCTGTGGTCACATGAAACGCAGCAAAACTGGCAAATCCTGGGGCTTAGGGTGAGTGTTTACTCCTGCCACTGACTGCTTCTCCCTGGCAACATCAACTGTACCTGCCAACCAGGGGCAAGTCGAGGCACGACCTGAGACATAGGCACACACACACACACACACACACAGTAAAATGTAGCTGTGGAGACGGTTGTGTTTCTCCAGCAGTGGTCACTTCTAAACAGAGCGATGAGAACTGCAGCGACCGCAGGTAGGATCACAGCACTCACCCATCCACATATACACGTTTTATACAGGACATCAGCAGCAGTTCACTTTAAACCATGCTGTTGTTCATATGTGTGTAAACATTTTTCAAGTTTTTTGGAAATCCAATCATCTGGCCGCGGACGGAGCTTTCAGGAGACGAGTTTAACTTCATAAAGAGCACAGCAGCTACAAAACCCAACCAACATCTGGATGTTCCAAAATGATTCAGCATCATGAAGAAGAGTAAAATGACGTTGGGAATAAGAATCTATTCTTCATCTATAATTGATTGTATCATGGCTGCCTCAGTGATTGGTAAATCGGGAAAATTGGTAAATAAATAAATTTGTTCCCTATAATTTTATATAACATCATCTAATTGATATTTGCTAATTACCCAATATGGTAACTTGTTAAAATTCCAGTGCTATACAGGAAAAAGACTAACCTTGGCCTATTCCCAGTGTGACAGAGCATGAAGGTGATGGCAAGGATTCCAAAAACTGATTTTTATTTCTCAGAAATCAATGTGTTTTCCTCACTCAACATATTCTTTTGTAACAAATCAACACTGGCTTCCGTAGTTAAATAAGGAAGAAAATTATCCTTAGATGCCATATAACCAAATCCGGGAGCTCTTGAGGGTTCAGTAAGTACCTTAAAATTATTTTATTTTTTAAATTGTATTTATTCTTTTGTTGTTTTCTTCTGTGTTTGTCCTTGAGCAAAAATAAAAAAATACATATAAAGATGTATAATGATGATTGGGGTTGCTGTGTAGGCAGTGTTGTTAGCTGATTGTTCTTAAACACCAATCACTAACTACACTACCAATACAACCACCACCACAAACAACTGCTCAGCCACAGTAGCATCAAGAGTGAGCTGTATTTGCTGTGAATTTAAACACACGTCTGCTTGTCCCATAGACTTCTCATTGAGATGTTACACAAAAATGTGTTGATAAGATAACTACAGCAACGAAATGAAGATGTAAAGCTGTTTTTGAATGAGGAAATGCATTATTGATTGTAACACTAACATCTGGCTAAATTAGTGTTCTGATGTGTTAACAATGATGAAAAGGAAACACTTTAGAACAACCAGCAGAGCTGACACAAACGCATTTATTTCTTTTCATGATGTTACTTTATTCACACTCTTTAATTTAAAAACACATTTATAAAGGTACAATTACTTAAAATACAAATACGTTTAAAAACCATGCTTAAACAGCATTACTTTAAATTATTGGCACTTTAAACCATGTATGAATAATAAACTTATCCTTTAAAGATACATAAACTGTACTGAAACTTTTTTTTCCCCCTGCAACCAGGGTCTAGTTTGCTTTGGTCCGGCATCATGGCTGCCGTCCTCACTCCGGTCCCAAACAGTAACCTGATTTTTGTTCTAGGTTGAAGGCTTGGCCTGCTCTAGGATCGGGATTTGCTGACCCAGTGGTACTTGTCAACACGAGGCCCAGCAAAGGTGAATGTGGGTCGATAGGACTTGAAGGCTTTCTGGCTGGAGAACTGGGAGGTTGGACCTCCAGGTGGAGGAGCGTGAGGTGGGAATGCATCACCAGCAAAGGCCTTCCGCTTCTCCCTCAGCCAGGTCTGAGGAGCACCTGGAGAAAACTCGCTGAACTGTGGACGAGAGGAGCAAAGGGTTAGGGGACAATAGAACAGACTTTAAGAAACAGAATAGTCAAAAATTAAGATTCTGTATCTACCAACTGCTTTCTTTCAGCCGTAAACTACCATGAGTTAATAGAGTTACAGCTCTTTTGATTGCTTAAAGAAAAGCAGAAAATGTCCAAATTCATTCAGCAGAATTAAAATGTTCTGTGGTCAAAACTCCTTCAGTATTTATTACAGGCTTGGAGATGAAGCGGTTGCTTTACTGTTACAATATGTGTTAAAATGATCACCTCTGTAAATAAGTTAAGTCACAGATATGAAACCTATTGCCAGATAAAAACGTACCAGTAAGGCTGACTAAGTATCTCAGATTCATCTATACTCACAAACGAAATATAAAAAAAAAAAGCAAGTTATTGTTTCACAGGGTGGTGCTGGAAAGTAGGAACAATGACCCTCAAATATTGTCACTGTAGGGTTGCTAGGCTCCTAGCAAAGAATCCAGGAAGTCACTGCCAAGCTAAAGATAATGCTGCCTGTCATTCGGCTGGTCCAGCATGTAGGATTCAGTGACATCTAACACCTCTATCTGGAGCCAGTGTTGTGGCTTGTTCCCACTGGGCTACTGTAGAAACATAGCAGTTAAACATGGCAGACTCCATGGAAGGCAGCCTACAGCATCTGTAGATTAAAAGGCTCATTCTAAAAAAACAAAAACATGATTATTTTCAGGTATACACACTATAATGAAAGCAGTTCTGCATATTGTATTCCATTTATGACAATAGTCCTGTCCATCCACCTCTGTATGCAGATTTTCTCGCCGTTTATACAATGACAGCTGACTTTGAGGGCGGGTGCGTCCAGAAAGTACGCTAGAGCAGTGGTTCCCAACCTTTTTTCCTTGAAGCCCCCCTTGC